GAGGGATCAATAACCGAGAGTTTAAATGTGAGATTAGGGATAACGAAGCCTTGGGTGCGATCTGAAGTGAGCTGTATTAAAAATCAGCTAGCGTAGCTCGGGAGAGTGCGTCTAGTAAATTGTCATAATTACTCGGGAGAGATTTACGGTAATAAGAGTGCTCAGGATCGGTAGAGAATACTTAGGCGAAATTATAGAAGACATAGCGAGAAGGATTCCTACAATTGGGAAAATCTTAACTCTAGACCTCCTTAATCTTGTCTCTAACCCTTAGTATATTTAGTTGTTAATTTAGTATTTNCCCCGTAGCCTACATTACAACCAAATAAAGTCTTAATTGATCCAAGATTAAATGAGCTCGATTAGTGGAGTAGTACACTACGGGAAAGCTTATGGTGCATATTTTGTGGCATATGAATATTATTTCTGACAGTGAGTGAATTCTTTCTATCTTGAGTTCCTAAGTGTTCTTAAATTTTATTGTGTGGAACTACTCTCTTTTGTTGTATGAGGGCACTTGATTCATGAAGGAAAGGTAATGTCAGTGACCTCTATGTTAGAGTAAGTAGGTGAATTGTGAATAATGCGTGGTACTTATGAGTCAAATCTTGAGGTGAAGATGTTACGCTTTTGTGCTTAGTCTATTTTAAATACTCTTGGTGTGATGAGTTAGGAGAATTGTTTAAAAAGGTCGTGTCTTTAAAAAAAAGTGTAGTTTGATTGCTCGAGGACGAGCAATGGTTTAAGTGTGGGGTGTTGATGATAGGCTATAATTACGTATTTTAGTCGATTATTACACTCTAATTTACTGCACTTTAGTTGAGTTTGCGCTTTAATCGCTAATGTTTTGCACTAACGGTGTGTTTTATGCCTTGTAGGAGTGATTCCGAGCTATATAGATGTTACGGAATGAATTTAAGTAATTTGGAGCTTTGAAGTCTGAGTAAGAGCTCAAGGAATTAAGCCGGGATCGCGTTCGGGGATCAACGAATGATAAAACAACAAAACGAAAACTCAAAGAGGCATATTGTGCACTGTCTAGTAAAATAGACATAATATTTTGCTCATAACTCCATTTGGGCTCCATAATATATGGTTGGAAAGATAACTCAAAGGGCTACAACTTTTATGTTTTACGTTTTTCCAAATTCCAAACGGAACAGGGTCAAAAACCGCGACCGCGGCAGAACCGCGGCAGAGGGCAGTCGCGGACAACTGAAGAATCTGAGATGGTGTTTGGCCGCGGTTCCGGCGTGACCGCGGTGGAACCGCGGCAGGATGCGTAAATTTCAGGGACCAAAGTGCAAAATACGGGATTTTAAGCCCTAAACCCTATATTAAACCAAGGAAGCCGGCCAAGAAAAGGAATTGGACATATTTTTGACATAGATTTGACCTAAGGAGGCAGAGACACAATAGGAGCAAGGCTTGGGAATTCTTCTACAAGTTTTTTCTTTCCTCTTCCTATTTTTCATTGTTGGTTATGACTTTTAGTATTGTAGTTTTACATACTATTATGAATATCTAATTTGTTATCTAGGGTTTTGATGGAACCTTTTGTAGGATAAATTCTTGTTATATTTTTATATAATTGAGCCGTAGTATAATCTCTATTTGTTCAACTACGTTCTTATTGTAGTTAATTGAAGAGCTCTCAATTAGCTGCGCCTATTTAGTATGCATAACTCAAGAGAGAGTGCATATTTAGGTAATTGTTGAACAACACCACTCCCAAAGTATATGAGGGATCAATAACCGAGAGTTTAAATGTGAGATTAGGGATAACGAAGCCTTGGGTGCGATCTGAAGTGAGCTGTATTAAAAATCAGCTAGCGTAGCTCGGGAGAGTGCGTCTAGTAAATTGTCATAATTACTCGGGAGAGATTTACGGTAATAAGAGTGCTCAGGATCGGTAGAGAATACTTAGGCGAAATTATAGAAGACATAGCGAGAAGGATTCCTACAATTGGGAAAATCTTAACTCTAGACCTCCTTAATCTTGTCTCTAACCCTTAGTATATTTAGTTGTTAATTTAGTATTTTAATTTGTTAGTTAATTAGTTAAACACAAGAATCTAAATATTTATAAGTTAGGAATTGTTCAAGCTTGTCTTCTTGGTGATAGTGAACAGTTGTAGCTAAGCCTTAGTTCTCTGTGGGATTCGACTCCGGACTTGTAAACCAGATTATATTTGCAACGACCGCATTGTCCTTTTTATAAGGCATAGTTGTGCGTGATCAATATGTAATTGGTCTATTTATTACTCCCCATTCACCATTCATGTCTGTGTTCCCAATGGGATGTTGGGTCTATTTCCAACTGATTGTGACCCAAACCTCGTGAAAGCTAGTAACAAATAACAATGCGAGATAACAATATACTATGTGAGTTATATATTCCGTAAGAAAAAACATACTACTATCATTTAATATTTTAGCAAATTATTAATTAATATTTATGGTATGAAATTTTATTCACATATAATTATCTTATAAACAATCTAATTGTATAAATAACGTTAAGATCATCGACGCGTAATTAAACTCATGCTGTCATTTCCACAGCCACAAGCAAATGAAAAAAGAAACTGCTACAACACTTTGTTTATTTGGGGCCTTGATTTTAATTCGTATCATTCTTCTTTAGTTCTTTTGGACCATTTAATTAACTTCTCAAATACATTAAATATCAAAATACAGTCTACACCTAGTATTAGCTGTGACGAAGGTCATGATCAAATATTTGAGGACACCAAAATGGTTCAGTTTTCTTTATATTATTAAAGGTCAAAAGAAAATATAGGTAGCGGAATCTAAACGTTCATCTTCCAGTGATCAATCAATACTTTGCGAAAAATTTCTAAACCTGTACCCTTTTCTTGCTTAAATTGCAATTTTCACGAGGAAAAAGAAAATAGGAGAATGAAGTCAAAAGATGTTTCCCCTTTAAACACTTCATCTTTCTTGGTGTCGTTTGATATGCTGTATAAGAAAATCAATCCGTGTATAAAATTCTGTATATATTGGGCTTATACAATATTTGATTGTGTTTTGCAAATCAGGATATAAAATTCCTTGTTTAACTTAATATACCAATTGATATGTTAAGTTATACCGTGTTATTTATACATCGTGCCCCTTTACAATTTTAAAATTAAGAAAATGACATTTTTTAGATCTTTTACGTATAAAAGACATATCTCTTACGTGTGGAAGTAAATCTCCTATGTATAAAAAAAAGTGGCAGGATCATAAAACCGAAAACAAGTTTGTAAAGAGACACAAAGCTAATTGACCACCAACAACCTGGAATATCCAATTCATGTATTATGTATAACTTATATATGGATAAAGCATCAAAATGACAAAATTATCCTTATCTTTTTCCTAGAACCCGATGAAGGTTCAACATTCAAGGGTATATAGTTATAAACTCACAGGGTTTCATTTGAAAAAAAAATAAGTATTTTAGATAATAGTTTTTTTGAGTCGAGGTTCTTTCGGAAACAATCTCTCTACTCTCTCGGAGTAGGGGTAAGGTCTGTGTACACACTACCCTTCCCAGACACCATTAGTGGGATTTTACTGGGTCGTTGTTGTTGTTTAGATAATAGCTTGTATATTCAATTTTAGTGCAACGAACCAAACCACCAACAAAAAATAATTCATGTAATAATGTATTATTACTCCATGTATTACTAATCCCAACATAACTAATTCATAACAATATAATCCCTGTATTATAACTATTCTTCGTACCAAACGACCATTGATTGATGAATTAAAAAAGGTAAAGACGGTTAGCATATATAATAGGAAGAAGCATATGGAAAATAAAATTCCCTTTTGAAAGGACCCTTCAGGAGATTTGGATTCTTTAGAAGAGGGCCCTTCATATGATATCTTCATTACTTTTGCCTCCCATTTCTACAAAGTAATTGCATTTAGCCACTCAAAGGCAGATGTTTTAGTGGGTAGGGTACTCCAGTCCAGTGTTCTTTTAGCTTTTCTCTTTTGAGAAGCATATACTAGCAAATTTTCATTTATTTGCTATCTATTCCTTTAAATACTTCATTTCCTCTATAGTAGTATTAGAAGTAGAATTTTGGAGCAAAGATAATGTTATCTCCGTATGATTCATACGTCACGAGTTCGAGCTATCGAAACGGTCATTAATACTTCCATTAAGGTAAGTTGTCTACATCACACCCCTTGAGGTGCGGCCCTTCCCCTGACCCTGCGTCAATGCGAGAAGCTTTATGCACTGGCTACCCTTTACCCTTTCCTGTATAGTAGTATTAGATTGCATCATATGAAACTATTAGAGAGTAAAGAAGAGTAATTTTGGAAAACTTAGGATCGTTTGGTACAATAGTGGGATATCTCATGGAATTAGTTATCCCACATTCTATGTGAGATAACTAATCATACCATTTTATTAGTGTAAAAGTTATCCAGAGATTAGTTAATTCCCCAAATCAAACATGGAATAAAGTTAACCTCAAATTTTATTCCAGAATTATTATTCTTATCTCATGTACCAAACGACGAAAATCTTAAATGGAGACGTTAAGATATAATGGATGAACGCTTGAGCATCCATTGCGCGCCTTTATGAAATTACAACTAATATACTGCAATTTCCTTCTTGTAACTTTGCAAATTTCTTATTCGTGAGTTAAGTTATCGTTTTTATTTGGTAAAGAGAAATGAGAACATTTTTGGTGAAAATAAAGGTCAATAAGCTAAAAGGACAAGAAGCCACATCGATCTGGTCCCGGATCTTGCCTGCCAATCATGGAAAACCGTCTGATTGGTTGAAACATAAGGGAAACTTTATTCTTTCAGACGTCTTCGTTGAAGGGTGTTTGATGATTAGATAGAAAAATGAATGAACAATGATAGATAATTCATTTATATAACCTGAACAGCCGACATCCATTTATATATATATAATTCATGTCTAATATGTCTATCAATATATAATCACCAGCTAAAAAAAAGTGAATCCGACCGACTATTTGTATAAAGAACCCTTTGCATAGTAGTCACTGTGAACTGAAAAAAAAATAGAATGGTAACTTATTGCGACATGCCATTTGCTAGAAAATTGAAGAAAAACGACACGGCAAAAAGAAAAAAGAAAAAACTCCTTAGGTTAATAAGGAAAGGGTGAAAAGATGTGATAATCAAGAGCCTACTCAAACAAATTAGAAAATTCAAACGCATGGCATATCAATGGAACACGAATAAAAGAACGGACAGATATGTACTACCAAGAGAAATGACAATAAATTTACCTTAGTCCTGTGATGACAAAACTAGTCACAAGAGGTAACTGCTAGTGCCACACCCAGATCATTTGAGGTTCCGCATATGTACATTCTGTATGTTTCAAATTCTTGTTGATAACCCCTCGGAGCATGACCAACATAGTAATTTTCGCAAAGGTGATCACGTTTGGTAAATATGATCTCTCTCGACGCTGGTTCATGGCCATTGAGAAGATTTCCCATGCTTAATACTTTCCTCCATAATTGATTTGCAGTAGGAGGGGTGAACATGCTTGCAATTACTTCTCTCTCTCCTTGCCTAACTTCTTGTTCATTATTGAAAACCTGACATAACAAAAGTTGCACGCTTATAAAATGAGAAAGCAAGAGATAGAGGCACAGGTCATTTAGCCTGGTTTATGCACAAAAATTGACATATTCAGCCACAAAGGCTAAAGTGAGTGGCAAAGAGTTAAGTTAATGTTGGGAGAAGCGTTAATAATTCTTGACCAAGATATTACTGCCATTCTTGGAATAGCATTCGGGAAAAAAAAAAATCTTGAAATAGCAAAAGAGACAGAACAAGAGCAAAGAATCGTACCTTTTGCACATCACGACCAATTGAGACTGTTCCAAGTTTTGGTACATGGAAGTTATCGTAGTCATTGAAGATTGATTCTGATAGACGTGGTGCTTGCATGAACTTGCGATGAAGAGATGCAGCAAGTGTTATCAAATTCTCGACATGTGCAAAAGTTGTACAGAGCCGCTTCAGGTCTTTAATATCTTCAGCATCAACAGAAATGCTATTTGCTGCATACAAAAAAAAAAGGGCCAACCTATAAAGAGCTCGTAAAAATTTACTTATAACGCAATAACATACTGGACCAACAAATGTACTTTGCAAGCATCTGAGAGTCGTTGACATGGTGAGGTAAAGTTGTTCAATTCTGGTGGTCATCTGCTTTAGACCTCCAAATGACGTTTTATTTAGTGTGTCAGCTGTTGCTCTAAAAGCAGTAGAAACCATTTGTTCCAACAACTGATATGGCCGCAGTGTTTCCAAATAATGAAGAACCTACACAAGTTGAATGATACAAATCTCAAATCAAGAAGTTAGTAAAAAATACGAGTATTTCAGTGGAATTTACAAAACTATAAAAACATTTTGCAATTTCACTGCCCTCTGTACCCTTTCTTTATTGATCCTTATCTATGCCCGAAAAACCTCAACAGCTCAGCTACCCTGACCCAAACTCTCAGGTCATTAACACTGCAAGTGATTCAAGAATTCATAGACGAGGCTCATTTGGAGAAAGATTAGAAGATGTAAGGATCCTTGAGCCGGGGGTCTATCGGAAACAACTTCTCTATCTCTATGAGGTAGGGGTAAGGTCTGCGTACACATTACCCTCCCCAGACCCCATTTATGGGATCAAACTGGGTTTTTTGTTGTTGTTGTTGTTGTTGTTATTAGAAGATGTAAGGATCATCTGTCTGGATTAAAGAGGGGCAATAGATGAATATGGAAAACTGCTAACACATGGCAGAAGCCTGTGGGGTTGTTTAAATTTTGGAGAAATGCTCAGGAGTAAGGACTATCGGAAGCAGTCTCTCTACCTTCAAAGGTAGGGGTAGGGTCTCCGTACACGTTACCCTCCCCCAAATCCCACTTTGTGGGATTACGCGGGGTTTGTTGTTATTGTTGTTGTTGCTCAGGAGTCTCCAAATTTTAGCCTCTGGCGGATGACCAAATATTCCCCCTTCAACTAGTCTGAGGGAAATAAACCCCCCAAGCTCTAATTCAAAGATCAAAACCTGCACTTTGTCTGCTTAAATATTGAAATTCTCTTGAAGCTTTACAATGGATCACTTATACTAAAAATATATAAATGAGCCTGGAAGTTATGCAAGTACGCAATGAATCCCAGTATACCTTTTCTCCTTCTTGATTTGGATCCAGAAGGGGCTTCTGCTCAGAAGCTGACAATGGAGGTGCCTCGTTCCATATCTTTCTCCATAAATTCCCATGCTCAGACATTCTTTCCGATAGTTTTCCACGAGGTGGCCAATCATATGTTGACTCTACCACTGCATTAATTTGAGATACTCCCTTCTCCATATTATCATCATTTTCCCAGTCCCTGGGTGAATGCCAGCGGATGAAATCTTCAAACACAGCATCTGGATTTGCTGCTTTAAATGCAGACATATCTAGCACAACGCAAGGATAATAAAGAGTAAGGAAGAAGATCAAATCTCCAAATATCAGCAAGCAAATAATAATGGAAATATGTAAGTCGAGCATGATGCATTGTTATACACAGTTACTGATATGGATCAGAGTAGTAGCACCTAACAATAGATTACAGTTTCATACTCGGTACTAAAAGAACCGTAACATGCTGACTTTCCTTCCATGGTTAGACGACACAACAGACATAATAGAACCCCATAACAACACAAATTGGAACGAAGAAATTGTAACCATAGCCACACTTTTGACCAAAAATCCTTAATTTTTTTAGAAATTTTTTCATAAGCGTAAATGGACCTGCTCTAAGTTCAGCTAATGACTAATATATTTTTCTGCAGCAGTAAAAACTAATAAGGGTATATTTCAGCTCGAGAAACAGCTTCACACGAAAACCTTGAGGTAAAACAGAAGAAGTGTTGATTATTCACAGATTTGCTCTAGGCACCGCAAGATGCACAACCATCTATTTGCACTTCCAAACTGTCGAAGCATCCCATATTCTCAGTACACAACAGCCAACAAGTAGAGTCTCAAGATGCTCACTTGATGCTTTAGCTAAATTCTACTTGCAATTACTGATAAGAAAGCAACAACACATGCACACGTGCGACAGCAAGAAGGAAGGATTTTGAAGAAAATAAGAGCACAGAAGTTACTACCTGATGACAAAATGTCTTTCTCTAGTTGGGCGGAAAATCTCTGTAAATGAGAATTAGGCATTCCATTGTCAGATGAAATAAAACTAATAGTAGAAAAGGTAAGACTTCATGAAACAACTGAAGGATTGCTTAACTGAAAACAACTGTTTTTCCAAGGAAATATTACAATGTAAGAAACCTCTGCATATTTCCTTCAAGCAAGACTAGAATATTCAAAAAACACAAACCAATACCAGAATAATCCAAAAACTATACAATTTTGCGCACTTTGTGTACAAATATTTTAAATAATCTTTAGTTGTTCATTCTAGACATGAGTGGCTAACGAATACAAAGTCATGCTGTGTTTTAAAGAATTTAAAATAAAATAAAAATAAGAACGAGAAATTTTATGGTGGCTTCAAATGTGAGAGAGTGGAGTTGAGTGGAGAGACTAAAACCTATAAGAGTTGAAATCAGTATTCAGTAGTGGGAACAGGGAATGAATCAGTTTTAGACTTTTAGGAGAGATCATGGTAGTTAGTTTAGAGTTTTGCAGCTCTAATAGTATATAGATGAATTACAAATTCTCTGTAATAAATTAGAGTGGAAAGGAGACCACTTCACCATGATTATGCTATTCTAAGCCATATCAATCATTAGCAGAATGCAACTGAATATTTCTTAATCCACATATTCAGGAACATCAAAATAAGGACAATTCGCTAACTGAGACGTGCATATGGATTTAAGTACCTACAGAGCCCCTTTAAACTCCTTTTCCAAGTGCCATCAAGCTACTAATCGTCTTTAGGAGATCTACTTGAAATTCTAATTGCAGCGCAGTGCTTGCTCACAATTTCTTAAGGAGACGATCTAACAATTGGTGCAGTTCTTGTTCACAATTTCGTAAGCAGAAGTAGATGTAACAATTGGTGGGAGTGACAATAACATTTCTCTTAGAGAACAGGTTCAGTACCAACAAGCAGAAAAGTGGAAGAAAACAGTGTTGTTTGTGCTACATAACCTGAAGCCAAGACACATGCATATGTTTCACCAGTAAAATATTAAATGTTCATTCATGCACCAACTATAAACTTCCTATATTAGACATCATTCTTCATTCGATTCAGAATATGTGGTGACTCTCCACAGGAATTGTGACAGCAGCAAATTTCATAATTATCAATTAGAAAAATGAGTTATCTGTAAGAGTTTTGAGCTCACAGAAGAATCACCAAGGGCCTCAATAGCTTGTAGACGTTCTTCATGCATGTCTTCAGTCATCAGTGGTGAATCCTATAATAATTTTCCCATATTTAAAACTGTGAAGGAAACAGAAGGCAAATGAAAACAATAAATACTTAGCAGTACAGGTAAATCAACCTGTGTAAATGGAGCATGCATGTTCTGGTAAGATTTCAAAAGCATCATAGACCCAATAACACCAGCCGATCCCCTCCTAATACATGGCGAATGCTCTGGATCACCTAACTTCACAGCACCAGAATGTTCAAAACTTGAAAAATGACTTGCAGGATCTTGATCTGGTGTTGATAGACTGCAGAAAGAACAGGAAAACAATTCAGTTCGGTTCAAAGGGAAGATATTCAAAAGTAATACAGGTTTGTAAGTTTTTGAAATATAAAAAATCCACATATTGCACCGTAAAAGCACGCCTTTCTCCCTGACTCAATTTATTGCTGATGCTGCAAATTTAAAACCTATGAACCTCAATCCAGATGTAAGCAAATGGCAAAGACAAAGAGGACTACCCCTAAAATAGGTAACCTTGCCTCAACCCCAAATAATAAATCAAAACCCAAAAAGATGAACAAAAAGGAGAAATGGGCAGATCATTTTGGATTAACGTGTCATCCTTTAGGTAGCGGAAAAAGTATAAAGAGACACCCATCCTGACCCAACAGCACATTTAAGTATTTGGATTAGACATTGTCTTGAAGGAGCATCATTTAAGTAAAAGAGGGTCCAAAACAAGTATCTAATTTTCCATCAATACCAAAATTAAAAAAAAAAAAAAGTTAAACTCCCCTCAGTGGAAAAAGTGGGAATATTCCTATTTTAGAGTCAAAACAAACCATGTAATCCATTATCACTTATAAGAGTTTTGAGAACAACTAGCAAAAAATAATGAATCTGTGAGAATGCACGGGAGAAAAATCTTATTGATTGATAATGACAATGATACAATGAGCCCTATATATACAATACATATCCTACTCCTAATACATATGGGATTAGGTTTATTTACTACTATTTATACAATGAAACTAACACTCTCCCTCAAGCTAGTGCATATAAATCATATGTACCGAGTTTGTTACGTATATAACTAATATGAGGACCAGTGAGAGACTTGGTGAAAATATCAGCAAGCTGATCGTTCGACTTCACAAATTTTGTAGCAATATCTCCCGAGAGTATCTTTTCTCTAACAAAGTGAGAGTCAATCTCGATGTGTTTAGTTCTCTTATGGAACACTGGATTTGACACAATATGAAGAGCAGCTTGATTATCACACACAAGTCCCATCTGACTAATCTCACCAAATTTCAACTCCTTGAGCAACTATTTGATCCAAATTAGCTCACATGTGGCCATAGCCATTGCTCGATATTCTGCTTCTGCACTAGACCGAGCAACCACATTTTGTTTCTTGCTCTTCCAAGACACCAAATTTCCTCCTACTAAGACACAATATCCAGACGTAGAACGTCTATCAGAAGGTGATCCTGCCCAATCAGCATCTGAGTATCCAACGAACTGCTCGTGGCCTCGATCTTCAAACAATAAGCCTTTGCCTGGAGCTGATTTTATATATCGAAGAATGCGGACAACTGCATCCCAATGACTATCACAGGGAGAATCCATAAACTGACTCACAACACTCACAGGAAAGGAAATGTCAGGTCTAGTTACTGTGAGGTAATTTAATTTACCAACCAACCGCCTATATCTTGCAGGATCACTAAGAGGCTCCCCTTGTCCTGGCAGAAGTTTAGAATTCGGATCCATCAGAGTGTCAACAGGTCTACAACCTGTCATTCNAATATCCTTTGGCAACAAGACGAGCCTTAAGTCGATCAACCTGGCCATCTAGACCAACTTTGACTGCATACACCCAACGACAACCAACAGTCGATTTACCTGAAGGAAGAGGAACAAGCTCCCAAGTACCACTCATATGTAAAGCAGACATCTCGCCAATCATAGCCTGTCGCCATCCGGGATGAGACAGTGCTTCACCTGTAGACTTAGGGATGGAAACAGAGGACAAAGATGACACAAATGTACAATGGGATGATAAGAGACGATGGTAAGTTAAACCGATATAATGAGGATTAGGATTAAGTGTGGACCGTATACCTTTTCGTAGTACAATCGGTTGATTAAGAGGAGGTAAGTTCGCAATATTAGCAGGGTTAGGTGCAGGACGTGAATCAGTTGGGCCTGATGCTGGAGGCGGACGACAATGATAAGTTAGGAGTGGTGGAGCTGTAGAAGGTTGAACTGGACTAGGTGGTGGCACTGGAGCTATAGTTGGTGGAACTGGACTAGGTGGTGGCACTAGAGCTATAGTTGGTGGAACTGGAACTGGAACTATAGGCGGTGGAGCTATGGAGGAAGATGAATGGGAGATAGGGACTGAATCTCCAAAAGAAGGAACAGGTAGCACCTCAGAAATATCTAAGTGATTAACTGGACCTGTAAAGTATGATTGGGTTTCAAAAAAGGTAACATCAGCAGACATAAGAAATCGTTGAAGGTCAGGAGAATAACATCGATATCCCTTTTGCGTTCTCGAGTAACCCAGAAATATGCAC